AACTTCGGCCAGTAAGTCATTTTTGTAGCAAACGACCATCAGTTAAATAACGTGAAACACTGTGGAAGGGCATTTAAGAACTGGGTGTTGTAACAGAAAGCACCTCTACCGCCACTACAAAGTCACCTTGACCGCCACACAGTACAGACCATGTTTTAAGTATATACATATTGAGTTCTTAAAGCTTATACAAAACTTTTGGTGTTATAAATATATTATGTGAAAGTTAGGATTTTTGTGTTAATTATCATAGCACCGACCCCCAAATTTTGTTGAGATCATAACCCGGACAAAGGACGGGTACCTGAGATTGTACCTTTATAAAAGGATTAGCATCCGGTCATTAGACTCTCAATTTGCGGGTCGTGGGTTTGAATCCCGTAACCGAACGTGTTCGTCCTTTCAGCCGAGAGGGACGTTATATTGTGGCTGTTAATCCCACTATTCGTTGATAAAGGGTAAGCCCAATAGTTGGCAGTGGGTGGTGTTGAGTAGCTGCCTTCCCTCTAGTCTACCTCTTCAAAATTATGGGCGTCTAGCGTAGGCAGCCCTCGAGCAGTTTTGCGTGAAATTCAACAAAGAAACAAAGCGGCCATGACGCGTGGGATAAACTACTTCGAAATTTCGAAAACTCATCTGAATATAACTGATTAGAGTTATGTTATGTAATAGCTCCCCCCCCCCCCGTCTTCACTCCAGTGACTCAGTAGTAGGTCTGAAGTACTGATGACACTAAAATTAGTTTTTGATATCGGTCTTTTTTTTCTTTTTTTTTTTGCTTTTAGTAGCAATCAAATATAGCAGTTGCGGAAATGTGAAATAATAGCTGTTACATCTACGACTATTGTATAAATATAGTAACTCTGGTCTCTTTGAAGAACCAAAATATAGTTCTTATCATTTGTTGTTCTTTCTGCAATAGTCCCCAGTGGGTCAGCGATAAGTTTAGAGACTTACGACGTTAATATCCGGGGTTCGTAGTGGACAGGGCGCATACAGTCAGCCTATTGTGTAACTGTGCTCTAATACAGGAATCGAACGTTATTGTAAAGCGTAAGGGCTTTGAGTTATGGCTCCTTTGGGTCACTCATAATCAAAACTATCATATAGGCTGTTTTTTCATCAAAATATTCATTTCTACTTCTTCCAGTCATAAACCCACGAATCCCAATGAAATTTTATGAAGTCAGATATAACTATAACAGTTATCATCCTCAATCGACTTTAATACTTTACACCCCCATATTGAAAATATACAGTGGACTCGCCTGTTTTTCTCTCCACTCGGGGAAAAAAATAAACAAAACGTATCTCTGCTTCGTCCACGTGTTTAACCTTAATACCGCAAGGAAATGGACTATTTACAGCTACAAACTACCAAACCGGTCCACGGGGAGGAGTACTTTTTTTTTATGAAGGGGGAGGGATACGTGTTCGTCAAGGGCAAATATTGTTTTTGTTTTTTTGTTTCTATCAGGCGGAGTATAAACATTTAGAAGTAATATAGAAAGTTAAACAATGAAGAGATCTGAAGGGGAGAACAGAAGAATAACAAAGTTGAAGGTGTTATTAATATTGTAACCGTTTTTTAAATATATGTAACAAAGCTGAAGGTGTTATTAATATTGTAACCGTTTTTTAAATATATGTAACAAAGTTGAAGGTGTTATTAATATTGTAACCGTTTTTTAAATATATGTAACAAAGTTGAAGGTGTTATTAAAATTGTAACCGTTTTTTAAATACATGTAACAAATTTGAAGGTGTTATTAATATTGTTTTTAAATATAGGAAACATATTTGAAGGTGTTATTAATATTGTTTTTAGATATAGGTAACAAAGTTGAAGGTGTTATTAATATTGTTTTTAAATATAGGTAATAAATTTGAAGGTGTTATTAATATTGTTTTTAAA